TGAAAGTGTAAAGAAAGAAAAGAAAAAGATTACTCCAAAGTTTTGACCCTAGTCAGGTGACTATAAAAATAATAATGCTATAAACGGAAATATAAAAATCAGGGAGTATGAACAGATTTTAGGAGTGGGATTTTTCTATGTTAGCAAATTTTATTTTACATTTTATATGTAAGACCCATGCCATCAGTAAAGCAAACTTAAAGGAAAGAGACTTTCTCTCTGATATCCTGCTACATTTAGGCCTTGCGATGACTCCACTTCCTCATCATTGCTGCGCTGTTGTTTATTTTCACTTGTTTTTGTTGTTTATTTCACAATAATGTTACGGGCAAAATGAAATATAGATAAGGATTAAGTCTAGCTAGGTCCTGAAAACTCAGAGTAAGTGATGTCTCAAATGCTCAACACCATACCCAGTGCTAACCAAAAAGTACAATTGTTTGTAATCTACATGTGTAATTCAGTACACAAGAATTTCTTAAAGATGGTCATTTCTAAAGCTCATATAGAATTCACCAGCATAACAAAGTTAGCAGCCTAAACAGCCAACTAGATTGGGTAATTGTAGAAATCTTCTGGGAAAATGTATGATGCCTTTTGGAATGAAGTTGGATATTAGGCAGATAGATTTTCAGCATCAAGTTATAATGATTGTTGTGTCTGTTAGAAAGAACCTAAAGTTAAGATTCAATTAATAAAGTTTTAAAATGTAGGGCACTGTAGTTTTTTAGGGGTACAAAATTTCAAGTTAAAATTTAAATATTAAATCACAATGATCTGTTTCCTTTCCAATTTAAAGCATATGAATTCTAATTTTGTTATGTGACCTTGTATGACCCACGAAATGTGTTTAAGTTGTGAACTGTTATTTAAGTGTAAGAAAAAAATGGGACTACTCATCAACTGCATTGTATCCAGCACCAAAATCTTCCTGATGGAGTAAGATAAACACCCATTCAGCTACCCTAATTTTTTTAAGACTGCCAAATGACATGACTTAATTTTACATGTCAAAATATAGGTAAACCACTGGGCATGGTGGCACATACCTGTAGTCCAAGCTACTTGGGACACTGAGGCAGAAGGCTCACTTGAGCCCAGAAGTTCAGACTGTAGTGAGCTAAGCTATGATCATACCAGTGCACTTCAGCCTGAGCAACATAGCAAGACCCCATTTCTAAAACTAAATGAATAAATAAGCAGGCAAACCCTTAAAGGACTTTGATGGTCATCAGTTAGCTAAAGTAAGCAACACTTTTAATAGTGCTATCTGTGGCAATTATAAAGCAACAGAGAACTAAAACAACTACAATAGTGTTATAAGGGGTATAACACTTAAGCACTTAACACAAACATCATTCTAGACCAATTAAATCAGAATCTCAGAGACAAGTTCTTATTTAAAAGCTCTCCACATAATTTTAATACATGCAGCAATGGTTAGGTCTACAAACTTGCATAAAAAAAATATATATATATACTCAGATACTCAGAAATTTATGCTTCTTGCCAAGACAAAGTAACAAAGACCATATACACTAGTTATACTCCTGAAACAACTAAATCAACAAAATATATGAAACAATAATTTTCAAAATATTAAAATTCATGCTACAAAAAAACATTGATCTCTGAGAAATGGGAATAATGAACAAAGTGAGTCTTATGATTGCCTAGCTTAAAAGAGTTTCCAGGCCATGACACAAGAAAGAAAAACATAGGCAGAGTAGAGTAGTCACCCTGTGTAGAGAAGATGTAGTTGGGAGCCTATGGATAACACAGCAAGTAGACTCTGTAGAGCAGAGATACAAGAGGGGAGGGCTTCAGAGATCTGTAGTGTCCACATTAAGTCTTCAACTAAGTACTAACCAGCTTACACATGTGTGAAAAATAACTGAGACCAGGAAAAGAACCACCCAAAAGGATAATAGGGAAAGACACTGAGAGTTCACACAGAAGAATAGCTCCTATTCTCATCAACAAAATCTAAAACCTCATCATTTCAAAAGCATTGTATAAAGTACAAAAAAGGGTTTTGCATCAGTATAGTACTAGGAAAAAAATAGCCCTTAGACTCGATTCTGCTTTAATCCCACTTCAAAAAAAGACCCGCTAAAATCAAACTGTTTCCAAATAACCTAAGTGCTTCAAACAATAAAATTTGAGATTTGTTGGACTACAAGAATACCCAGAACACAAGGCAAAATTCACAATGTCTGGCATTTAATTAAAAATTATTAGGCACGCAAAAAAGCAGGAAAATATGAACAATAATGAGAAAAAGTAATTAATCAAAATTGACACAGAAATTACATAGATTATAGAATTAGTGAAAATGGATATTTATACAATTATTATAACTATATTTCATATGTCCAAACAACAAGAAGTAAAATTGAACATGTTAAACAGAATTATGGAAAATAAAAACATAACACAAATCTAAACATCTAGAAATAAAAAATTAGAATGTTCAAGAAGAAAAATATACTCTATGAGATTAATGGCAGATTATTCATTGTAGAAGAAAATATTAGTTAATTTGAAGACAATGGAAATTATCCCAAATAAAATACAATGACTAAAAATGATTTAACAGAGTTATCAGTGAGCTAAGCGACTAACTCAACTTGTCTACTATGCATGTAATTGGAGTTCTTAAAGAAAAAAAGGTCAAGGTAATATTTGAAAAGATAATGACCAAAATATTTTCAATTTAATGAAGTACAAAAGTCCACAGATCAAGAGATGCTCAATGAACTCTAAGCACACACACACAGACACAAATAAATAAAAAGAAACCAAGTCACAACATGATCAAAGTGCCGAAAATTATGATGATAGAGAGAAAAAAAATCTTAAAGGTAGCCATAAGGAAAAAAACATTACATACGAAAGAAAATCAGTTGTCCTGAGTGGGGTAGGGAGGTACAAAGATTAGGATGGCATTAGATTTTCATTAGAAACAATGGAATGCAGATGACAGTAGAGAAATATAAAGTACTGAAAAAAATCAAACGATAATCTTTTACACAGCAAAGATATTTTTCAAAACCAAACTGCATTTTGAAGCTTACAAAAATTGAGATAATTCATCACCAACAGAGCTTAAGTACAAGGAATGACATAAGTACAAGGAATGTACTTGACATAAGTACAAGGAATACAGAGCTTAAGTACAAGGAATGACATAAAAAGTCCTTCAACCAGAAGAAAAATAACAGGTAGAAATAATAATCTGTGCTCAAATTAAAAGCACCAAAAATGGTAACTACATGTTTTAAAAATGATTTTTTATTACTAATTAAGTATCTTTAAAAGATATGTGACTATATGAAGCAAAAATAATAACAATATTTTGGGGGGTTTATAACATATGTGGAAATAAAATGTATGACAACAGTGGTGCAAAGGCTTGGAGGAGAAAATGGAAGTATATTGTGGCAATATTTTTATAAATATATGAAGCAGTATGTTACTAGAAGGTAGAGTGTAATAAGTTAAAGATATTTTCTATAAACACCAAAGCTATCACTAAAATTACACAGCAAAGCATTATAACTAATAAGCCAACAATGAATGTAAAATGGAAGCATAAAGTAGTCAATTATTTAAAAATGGGAAAAGATAAGAAATAGAAAATAGAAAAAAAAACAGAAAAAGATAATAGGTAAAGAACAGATAGAAAAAAATAGCAAGAGAGTAAATTCAGACTCATCATATCAATGATCACATTAAATGTAAATGGTCTAAACACCACAGTGAAAGGCAGAGATTCTCAGACTGAATTTCAGAAATAAAAGGCAAGACCTAACTCTATATGCTGCTATAGAAGAAGAAAAAAGTGTTGATATAAAACACAAATTGACTAGAAGTAAATGAATGGAAAAAGATATACCATGCTAACATTATGAAAGGAAGGATGAAGTGGCTATATTAAAATAGGATAAAGTAGATTTCAGAACATAGATTATTATTGAGAATGAAAAGGTCATTTCATATGATAAAGAGGCAGAGCATCAAAACACATGAAACAAAAGCTGATCAAAGTACAATAAAAAAGAGACAAATTCAGAATTATAGTCAGATATTTCAAAAATCCCTGTTCAGTTATTGATAAAACCAGTAAACAGAAAATCAGTAAGAATATGAGTTGAATACCATCAATCAACTTGATCTAATTGATATTTATAGACTAATCCATCCGACAATACTAAACTATAAAATATATTCTTCCCAAGGGCACATGAAACATTTTCCAAAACATACCATTTTCTGGGTCACAAAACATGCCTCCATAAATTTAAAAGGATTCAAACCATGCAAAGTGTATGTACTATGAGCACAAAAAATTAGATTATAAATCAAAAACAGAAAAAAATCTAGAAAATCCTCAAGTATATTGAAACTAAACAATGTTCTTTTAAATAATCCATGAACAAAAGAAAAAAATAGAAAATTTGTAATTATGTAGGATTGAATGAAAGAGAAAACACACACTTTAAATTTTGTGAGATACAGCTAAAGAAATATTTGGAGGTAAATCCATAACACTGAACATCCATATTAGAACAGTGGAAAGGTCTCAAATCAATGACCTCAACTTGTACCTTAAGAAACTGGAAACAGGAACTGGGCACAGTGGCTCACACTTGTAATCCCAGTACTCAGAAGGCTGAGGTTGGATGATTGCTTGAGGCCAGGGGTTTGAGACCAGCATGGGCAATGCAGAGAGATCCTGTCTCTACAAAAAATAAAAATAAAAAAAAATAAAAATAAAATAAACTGAGCCAGGCAAGGTGGCACGTGCCTATTGTATCAGCTGCTTGGGAGGCCAAGGCAGGAGGATTGCTTGAGCTCAAGAGTTTAATGCAGCAGTGAGCCATATCACACCACTGCACTTCAGCCTGGGTGACACAGTGAGACTCCATTTCAAAAAAAAAAAAGGAATAAGAGCTCAGGTAGATGGGAGCGTAGATGCTTCTGGAAAGAAAGCCACGATGGTTACCCAAGGAGAGCCCCAGGTCCAGTTCAAACTTGTATCGGTTGGTGACAGTGGTACTGGGAAAACGACCTTCGTGAAACGTCATTTGACTGGTGAATTTGAGCAGCGTATAGCCACCTTAGGTGTTGAGGTTCATCCCCTAGTATTCCACACCAACAGAGGACCTATTAAGTTCCATGTATGGGACACAGCCGGCCAGGACAAATTCGGTGGACTGAGAGATGGCTATTATAACCAAGCCCAGCGTGCCATCACAATGTTTGATGTAACATCAAGAGTTACTTACAAGAATGTGTCTACCTGGCATAGAGATCAGGTACGAGTGTGTGAAAACATCTCCATCATGTTGTGTGGCAACAAAGTGGATATTAAGAACAGGAAAGTGAAGGCAAAATCCATTGTCTTCCACCGAAGGAAGAATCTTCAGTACTACGACATTTCTGCCAAAAGTAACTACAACTTTGAAAAGCCCTTCCTCTGGCTTGCTAGGAAGCTCATTGGAGACCCTAACTTGGAATTTGTTGCCATGTCTGCTCTCACCCCACCGGAGGTTGTCATGGACCAGCTTTGGCAGTACAGTATGAGCACGACTTAGAGTTTGCTCAGACAACTGCTCTCCCAGATGAGGATAATGACCTGTGAGAATGAAGCTGGAGCCCAGCGTCAGAAGTCTTAGTTTTATAGGCAGTTATCCTGTGATGTCAGCGGTGCAGTGTGTGTGCCACCTCATTGTTATCTAGCTAAGCGGAACATGTGCTTCACCTGTGGGATGCTGAAGATGAGTGGGCTTCGGAGTGAATGTGGCAGTTTAAAAAATACCTTCATTGTTTGGACCTGCATATTTAGCTGTTTTGGAACGTAGTTGATTCCTAGAGTTTCAGATATAAGACTGCTACAGTGGGCCGGTCGCGGTGGCTCAAGACTGTAATCCTAGCACTTTGGGAGGTCGAGGCAGACTGATCACGAGGTCAGGAGATCGAGACCATTCTGACCAACATGGTGAAACTTCGTCTCTACAAATATTAGCTGAGGGTGGTGGCGTGGGCCTGTAATCCCAGCTACTCAGGAGGCTGAGGCAGGAGAATCCCTTGAACCAGGGAGTCAGAGCTCACAGTGAGCCGAGATCATGCCACAGCACTCCAGCCTGGGGACAGAGAAAGACTCCATCTCAAAAAAGAAAAAAAAAAAAAAAAAAAAGACTGCTACAGTCACACAGTCACATCACAATATTCAGTGGTGAAATCTTGTTTGTTACTATCATTCCCATTCGTTTATCAAAATAAAGTTGTATTTCAAATATCTAAAAAAAAAAAAATAAGAAAATAGAAAAGAAACTAGAAGTCAAAGAACAAAATAAAACCAAAGTAAAAGAGAACTTATGAAAAAAATCAGAGTAGATATTAATAAAGTATGTAAAATCAATGAAAAAATTAATGAAACCCAATGCTGCTTCTTTAAGAAGATCAATAAAATTGGTAAGCCTCTAGCCAAGTCAATCAGAGGAAAAAAGAGAGAAGACACAAATTACGCATTGTCGGAAATAATAAAGGTAACATCACTACGTATTTTACATATATTTTTTAAAATAAGAAAATATTATAATGAACAGTATGCCAATAAATTTGACAATTTAGATGAAATAGGTAAATTTCTTGAAAGACACAAACTACCAATTTCATCCAGGTATAAATAGATAATCTAAATAGCCTACTAAATAAATTAAATTTGTGATTTAACCACCCCCCCAAACAGCAACAACAACAACAACAAAAACACCTCCGGGCCCATCTGACTTCGCTAGAGAATTCTACCAAACATTTAAGGAACAAATGATGCCAATTCTACAAAAACTCTTAAGAAAATTGAAGAAGATGAAATATTTTGCACCTCCTTTCATGAGGCCAGAAGTTTCGGGAAGATGAAAACCAGATAGACATTATATGTAAGAAGATAATACAACATGGCTGAATAGGATTCATTCACAAAAAGCAAGATTGTTTTAACATTCAAAATTAATTAATGTAATTCACCGTACTAACAGCCTAAAAAAGAAAAATCATATGATCATCTCAATAAATGCAGGAAGAGCATTTGACAAAATTCAATCAGTATTTCTGCTAAAAACTCTTAGCAAAACAAGGATAGAAGAGAACTTCTTCAATCTGATAGACAGCATCTATTCGAAAAACTTAAAGCTAATATATTTAATGGAAACTGACTGAATGCTTTTTCCCTACGAACAGGAAAAAGGCAGTGATGCCTTTTCTCACCATGTTCATACAATATTGGACTGGAACTTTCTGGCTAGTTCAATAAGGCAAGAAAAAGAAATGAAAGGCATCCAAACTAGAAAGAAACTGCCTTTGTTTATTGGCAAAATCATCCTCTATGTAAAAAATTACTCGAAAATTACCAAAAAAATAACTACTGGAGCTAATAAGTGACTTCAGCAAGATTTTAACATATAAGATCAATATATATATAATCAGTTTTATTTAGGTATTCTAGAAATTATTAGAAATTAAAATTTTTTAAACAACACAATTTGCAATATGCAAAAAAAGAATTTTCATCAATACTTCATACAAAACACAAAAATTAACTCAAAATGGATTATAGTTCTAACCGAAAACTATAAAACTTCTAGAAAAAAATTTTATGGTCTTGGGTTAGGGAAAGATTTCTTAGGTATGGCAACAAACGCACAATACATAAAAGAAGAAATTGATAAATTACACTTCATCAAAATTAAGAGATTCCACTCTTCAAAAAAAATTTCTAAGAGAAAGAAAAGACAAGCTACAGGTTGGGAGAAAATGTGTGCAAATTGTATACATGATAAAGAATTTATATCTATATAAAGAACTCTCAAAATTAAATAATGAGAAACCAAACAACCCAATAAAAAAAATGGGAGGAGGCAAAAGATTTTACCAGAAGCTTCTCCAAAGAAGACATACAGAAGGTAAATAAACATAGGAAAAGGTTCTTGAAATCTTTAGTCATTAGGGCAATGCAAACTAAAAACACAATGAGATACCACTATGTAGGCTACTACACACCTGTAAGAATGTCTAAAATTAGAACCACTGGCCATGTGTTATCAAGGATAACATGGAACTGTCATACAATTATAGTGGGTATGGAAAATGGTACAACCACTTTGGGAAACTGGCAATTTTTTAAAACGGCAAACGTTTTTTATGATATGACCCACTTATTTCAACACATGATCCAGCCATTCCACTTATAAATATTTACCAAGAGAAATAAAGGTATATATCTTGTATATAAATATTAATAGCCAGAAATTATAAACGACATAAATGTCCACCAATACCTAAATGGATTTTTTAAGTTGTTATGGACTGAATGTTTGTGTCTGCCTAAAATTCATATATTAAAGCTCTAGTCCCTAATGTGATGATATTTGGAGATGGAACCTTTGAGAAGTAATTAGAGTTAGATTAGGTCATGTTAGTGGGGCCCTCATAATGTGATGGGTGGCCTTGTAAAAAGAGGAAACTCTCTGTGTGCATGCACAGAGGAAAGGCCATATGAAGATATAGTGAGGAGGCAACTGCAAGACAGAAGGAGAGACCTCATAAGATATTGAATCATCTGATACCTTGATCTTGGACTTCCCAGCCTCCAGACTGTGAAAAATAAATTTCTGTTGGTTCAGCCACCTAGTCCATTGGCATTTTGTTGTGGCAGTCCAAGCTAACTAATACATTCATACAATAGAATGTTAGTCAGCTGTAAAAAGTATGAACTGCTGATATGTACAACAGGAAGAATGAATCTGAAAGAAAAATTACACTGAGTGAAAGAAGTCAGAAAAAGAGTTTACATATATGATTTCATATGTATAAAATTTTAGGAAATGCAAACTAATCTCATAGTTACAAAAAGGAGTTCAGTGAGTGATTGCTTGAGAATGAGGGAGACAGGAAGGAACAAGAGAGAGTAACCTCAAAGGGTCACAGCAAAACTTTTGGGGGTCATGAATATATTATCTTGGTTGTGATAATGGTTTCACAGGTATATACCTATGCCAAAACAAATCAAATTGTTCACTTTAAACATATGCAGTCTATTTTATGTCAATTATACTACAATACAGGTTTTAAAAAGAAGAATAATCAGGAAAATTCTGATAGAGAATGATGAGCAGATACATGTTGCCAGACATTACAGAAAGCTAAAAATATTTTTATCTGACATAACATGTTCCAGGATTGATAGATCTGTGGGCTAGAACTAAAATTTTCCAAATGAAATTGCATATATTTGAGGTTTTTGTGTAAAATAAAGGTAAAATTCCATATCAATGGGAAGAAGTTGGATTATAAAATAAACTGTAAAGCTAGTAGCATTTTCTTTTTTTAAAAAAGAAGCAATCTCTGTCTTACTCTTTACTAAAAAGTAAATTCAAGTGCATAAAAAAAGTAAATAGGAAAAGCGAAGCCATAAAAATACTAGGTGAAAATTACAGTTTTTAAAACAATATTGAAACGGCTTCAAGACAGCTGACTAGAGGCATCTGGTACTCACCTCCTCCACAAAGATGCAAAACCTCCTCCCTAAAGAACCAAAATCACAAATACACAATCACACTTCAAATAGATCACCTAAGAGACAATGCTGGAATTCAACAGAAAAGTGACAAGAGACACCTAAGGCAAGGAAGGAGAAGGAAGTGAGGCAACCTGCTCTGCCTGACTGCCAAAATCAGCTGGGAGCATAGAGATGTTCTCCCATAAGGGAAAATAGTAACTGAGAGACCCCAGTGGTCCATATTTCAACCACAGACTACTGCAATTCTAGCCACAGAAGAGCCCCTCAAACTATGTGGACAATGAGACTAATATAGGGAACTACCAGGAGACTCTGTGATGGCAGTGCTGCAGAGAGGAGGCTCACACCAGGTCTCACACCCATCCCCGCAGCACCTATCAGAATGCATTCCACCTAGGAGCCCAATAACTAACTACTATACCTCCATATCTCCAAAGCCCCATTGACATCCACTGATCATACCCAGATACCATTGCTGGCTGGTGTCACCAGGACCAAAGGCAGAGCCACTGGCAGTGACCACACCATTCCCAATAGTAGGGCCATCACACATTTAAAAGTGCCCTGCGGAAAGTTATCCTGCTTATAGCCACCACTTAGAACTGAAGCATGTGCTCCTCAGCCACCTGTTTGTGGCTACTGCCACTAAAAGCAACCCCATCTTCACCAGCAGCTGGTGCCACCTTCACAACACACCCACTGCCACCCTCATCTGAAGATGTATTGAACCCCATCTTCACAACACAGCCACTGCCACCCCCTTCTGAACATTCCACAAGGGGCCTGGGGATCACCCCATCCTTGCCTACCACAGCCAGCTACCACAGACACCACCAATGAGTGTGAGAACAGGCCCACCTGCTCCAATCTATATTTCCTCCCAGTGCCCAAACACATGACCAGTGGCCTAAGGATGAGTCCAGCCAACCTGCCACTACCACCACAGGTGGCATTCATCCACCAATGCCACCTGCAGGCCCAGAAACTAACCTACTGAGGCTGTCACAGCCACCA